TCCATGCGTGCTGCTCCTACAACTTCATTTGGAAATTCTGCGTGGCCGCGCACGAAGCCAGGTCGCAGCTTCTGCTGAGGCTTAAACATCGACACACAGGGTGACAGCTGCTCCTCAAGCCCGGCCGGGGGGCCGGGGGCTCAGGGGTTCAGTGTCGCCTAGGAACCAGGAGGTCCCGGTTGGATTCCGGTCAAGGGCACAGGCCCGGGTTGCGGGCTCGATCCCCCGTGTGGGGTGTGCAGGAGGCAGCCTATCGATGACTCTCATCATTGATGTTTCCCTCTCTCCCCCTCTCCTTCCTCTCTGAAATCAAACACAAACATATTTTTAAAAAACCCACAAAAACAAAAAAAAACAAATGAAAAAGTGCTCCCTCCAGCCAACAGGAAGCACGCCTGAAGAGCAAACCGCGTCGCCACTGTCTGCCTTCCTGACGGCCACAGGCATCTGCTCGGGGAAGAGGTTTATTCGTATGTAACACGGGCTGCGCCCACCTGACTCCGGTGCAGGTCAATGTGTGCAGCAATCTCCTCTCATCCCCCCCACCCGGCGATGCAGGGTCAGGGGGTGTTTGACTGAGTCCCTTCCTGGGGGCCCCTGGATTGTGGCTCAGCAGGACCACTGAACAGACCCCCCTTTTCCTCGGCACTGACTGCTCGCTGCGTGAAGACCAGAGGTGCTTTCGGCGTTCAGGTGAGCTCGCGAGCCCGCGGGCCGGCCAAGCGGTGGCTTAAAAAGTCAGTTTTCGGTTATGAAAGCCCACAACCGTTGTCTCTCATATTTCAGATAAAGCTCCCTGTGCTTCCCGACCTGCTCGACGGAGAGCCTGTTGCTGTGTTCGCAATGGACATCCTGACTCACGTTGATAGAATGTTCTCTAAACGTAGCTACGATTCTCTGTAAGCTGCTTAACGTAAATGTCTGTCCTCATTCAAATAAAAAAAAGACCAGTTTTGGGGGAAGGGGGGTTGGCTGGGCCTGGCCGCACCCGGCGAGCTGGTTGGAGGCCCGGAGCAGCGCAGCCGGGGAACAGGTCTGGGCGAGCTCAAGTTCACCTCCCTCCCCTGGCAGCCCGCTCGCCCGGCAGGTTCACCACTGTTTGCGAGTGGTGCTGGCTGCTCCACACACTCATAACTTATCTTCCGAGCACGGGGAACACGGGGAGAGAAGTTGCACAAGAATAAAAGGAGGCGTGGCCAGCGACCAAGGCGAACAGCCAGCGGTGCCATCACGCAGCACAACGACAGTGTAGCCACGGCGGCACGGCCAGGGACAGTGTCATCTGCACAGACACCGCCGCCTGGATGGACTCAGACAGCCCAGCCAAGAGCCAATGTCCTTGGGGTCTAAAGTAAGGATTTAAAATATAAATGTGTTTCTTTTTATTGATTTCAGAGAGGAAAGGAGAGATAGAAACATCGATGATGAGAGAGAATCATGGGTTGGCTGCCTCCTGCACGCCCGACACTGGGGATTAAGCCCACAACCTGGGCATGTGCCCTGACCAGGAATCGAACTGTGACCTCCTGGTTTGTAGGCCTTGACCAGGAATTGATCCCCTGACCCTTCAGTCCACAGGCGATGTTCTAACCACTGAGCGCACTAAAATAGAGATTTAAAAAAAATACTTTCGTTTGCAGATGGGCCTGCCCCCCGTTTGGAGCGTCGGGGATGCTGTTGGGATAGGAACCTATGAAATGCGAACACGCTGTAGGAGGACCGCAGACTTCTCGGCCTCCACCCGGCCACGCTTCCTCTCCCTCGTCCTCCCACAGGGCCCGGTGGCCACGGTCAGAGCCCAGCACGCAAGCTCCCCGTGGCCACGCCAGCGAGCCACTCTGGGGCCGAGCTACTGCTGCGTCCTGTCTGCAGGCATCTGAGACGAATCGTCCAGAAGCAGAACACTGGCCATTCAGTGACTGGAGGCTGAGACCCCTGCGTTTCTAGCGAAAGGAGAGAGAGGCACTGTCATGGATCGTGTCTGTGACCACTGGCTGGGCATCCGGCAGACCAGGGCATCCCTTGTGTGACTGGCTGCACGTGTAACTCCAGGTGTCTTGGCTGGGAATGAGTGCTTCTGCTTGGGGGAGGGCAGGCGATTTTCTGCACATAAAGAGCCCTCCCCGCCCCCCGCCCCCAGGTAACCTGCACGCGGTGTTATTCCCGCGGAACACACACGGCAGACCCTCGCTGTGCTGACGGAGGGGCTTCCTTCCGGTGAAAGATTCCAGAAGGTGAGGCAGGTCCCGCGCCGGGAGGATGCTGTCGGGGAGGATGCTGTCGGGACGAACAGCAGACGCGAGAAGAATGTGCTGTGGCCTCCTG